AAAAATTTCAAAGATAGCTTTTACAAAGTAAGTTTAGTAACAGGTGAATTTTTACTATTAAACTTAGTAAAATAACTAGGCAGTTTCAGTTTTATTAAAAAACTTAGTAATAATCGCCATTGCAGCTTCAGTTTACTAAGACAATTTAGTAATAATTCCCATTGCAGCTTCAGTTTTACTAAAACAATTTAGTAATGACCGCTATTGTGACTTCGGTTTACTAAGAAAACTTAGTAATAACGTCATTGCAGCTTTGGTTTTACTAAGAAAACTTAGTAATAACCGCTATCGCAGCTTTAGTTTTACTAAGAAAACTTAGTAATAACCGCTATCTTGGTTTCGTAACAATTTTATTAGTAAAAAAACGTTTCTGAAGCTGCAGATGCATTTTTTACTATATTTTCTTAGTAAAATAGTATCTCTGAAGATGCAGAGGTGTTTTTTACTATGTTTTCTTAGTAAAATAATGTCTTTAAAGCTGCAAAGGCGTTTTTTACTAGTAAAATAACGTTTCTGAAGTCACAAAGGCATTTTTTACTATGTTTTGCTTAGTAAAAAAGCATTTTCGAAGCTGCAAATGTGCTTTTTATTATGGTATTCTTAGTAAAAAAGCATTTCTAAAGCTGCGAAAGCGCTTTTTACTATAATTTTCTTAGTAAAAGCCACTTCTGAAGCTTTGGAGATGGCTTTACTAATGATTCAAATCAAATCAAATATTTAAATTCTTGATTTGAATTTGATCGAATTGTATCAAACATTAATTTGGATTTGATCAAATAAATCATTCTTTGATTTAAATTTGATCAAATCAAATCAAATATAAATTTGAATTTGTTTTGATTTGATTTTTAAATCAAATATTCAAATTTCAAATCGAATTGTGAAATCCTACCTGTTATATTAGAGGATTTATTTAACAAGAGGCTGGAGCTTAAAGCACGTCTGATCTCACTAGGAAAGAAAAAGCAACATCTTGGAAAGATGATAAGTTTAGCTAAAAAAAAGTGGTAAAAGAATACCAGAAAGGTTAAATTTAGAATATTCATCCATATGCTTTGATTACGATTATTAGGATTCAAAAAAAAAAGCTTTGAAGGTATATATAAACACTTTTTATGAGGAAGCTAAAAACTCACTATCTCCAATTTTTCTTCACGAATTAGCCTGTAGAACTACTAAAGCGGAAAAATATAACCTTAATCTTGTTATCAAATTCGTATCAAAAAAGGGTTTAGGATAAAATATGGAAATACCGATTCTTTGTATCTCACCTATCCAGATAGGTATTACAAAAAATGCAATGAAGCCTTCTCTAGAGAAGAACTTTCCAAAGAAGCGTATTGGACTGAAATGGTCAAAATTACTATAAATGTGATAAGAAAGTTACGTAATTAAGTAAATGCTTATCTTAGGATAAAAATGGAATGTCTTATTTAAAGATGGCATATGAAGAGGTATTATTTCTCATCTGCTTTACTGGTAAAAATAAGTACTTTGGAGTTGGGTATGAAGATGTAGTAAACTTTAAACCAAAAAATCTTTTCATAAAAGGGATAGATACTGTAAAGCAAGGTAAATCACAGCTTCTTAAATTCATCAGAGAGAAGATAATGAGAGAGGCTATGGATATAAATAATATGTATCCAATTCACATAATTGTTAAAGATACTCTTAGAGAAGCAAGAAACAAGAAATAGGATTTCAATAAATTTATTGTGATGGAGACATGAAGGCCCAAGAAAGAAAATCTCTGCAATAATCGCTTTATGAATTGTATAAGAGAGAAAAATGAGAGGATTTCTGATCCTGGTAAACAGTTTAGCTATGTTATTGTGAAAGTCCCCATCTTCGCGATGAGAAAGGCAGGTTAATACCTATAGAGTTGGAGATTATATGGAATATCCATCGAACATAGTAAAAGAGCAAAACATAGAAATAGATATCAATTATTATTTAGGCATTATAGTTGTAATATACACTTTATCAATGAGAGCAATAGCTATCAACCACCCCCATCACATAAAATAATGCAGATTAAGGATCCAGATATAAAAGAAAAGAAGATCAATAAACACTCTCAGGACGAGACTATAAGACAGCTTAAAAAATATATAAAAACTTTACAATAATCTTTCTGAATACTCTTAGCGGTATGTGATAATTTCAGCTAAAAAAACTTAGTCGTTAAGGCGCTTCTCATAATATTATTTACATATTTTTTCTCGTGTAATAATATTGGCTAACTTCAATTCTTATCTTCAAACTTTCAGCCTACAATCATACAACCCAACCTCAAAAATATCCAGAGATGATAAAAAATAATTCCAATTATGAGAATACTCAATATTACTTTTTTTCTATGAATTCCATATTTTTTTCCCAATGATCCATATAATTACAAAAAGTAATAAAGTAAGTATGGTATATGTTATCAATGATGATATTAAGGAGTTTGCAATGATAGGGATAGCTAGTACTAAAGGCATTACTTGAGCTGATGGCATTACTTCTGTACCACCTAATTGCTTTGCAACCCTTTTACTTAAAATAAACTTTTCAGAATGTGCTGGTCAACTATGAACAGATTGATTGGGTAATATATCTGTCTGGCTTTTCGAAACTATCCCATCCCAGGATAATAGTTCTTACAAAGCCTCTAATACATTTTCCCTAGCAAAATTTTTATTGAATTCTATAACTTTATTTTCAAGACTGAGCTTATAGACGAAGGATTTTAAATTGTTACTGACCCAATCTGGTAGCTTTTGTGATGAATTGTTTATAGGTGAGGGATTAGAGAAATCTTTTGAGAATAAATCATCCTTTGTCTGTTTCAATTCAAGACTGAGAGAATCATTTTCTTTGGGATCAAATGAGTTTATTTGGACTGGCTTTTCTAGTAATCCTCTTATTATATGTGAATCACATTCTAGTTCCAGATCTAGCAACTTACCTTCCAATTCAACTACCTTAGCTTCAAGTGAAAGTATCTTAATCTTATCAGCAGACGAAGCTTTCTGCGTCAAAGTCGCCTCTCTCTTTAGTGTTTTAATATTTGATTTAAACAATTTGATTTTGGCAGAATAATTAGCTCGTTCTACTTCATGCTCACGTTGACTCTCAGAATGTAACTTCTGTTCAGAAGTAAATTAGAATCTAAGCTTAGTATTTGTATCATTAGCTAGCTAACCTTATTTCTGATATCTGCTTAAACTCCTTTTCTCGCCCTGAATACTTCAAATTTTCAGCCTACAATTTTTCATTGAAGTCAATAATTTCAGAGTTAAAATCAATAGCGGATCTTAATTTTTTTTGAGCTCTTGCTCATATGTACTACCCAGCTGATGTCCTTTATTTTTTATATCTTTCAGTGTATATACATTAGACATAATATTGACATAGTTACATAGTAGGAAAAAAAATATACGAATAAAATTCTAAGATAATACATTCATTTTGTATATTTAGAATGATATATTCTTTCTATACATCCTGTATATCCTGTATATCCCATTTATCTGAAATATATTTTTTCTGTACATCCTGTATATCCTGTATATCCTGTATATCCTGTTTATCTGAAATATATTCTTCCTGTATATCTTGTATATCCTATATATTCGGAATGATATATTTTTCCTATATATCTTATTTAATAAATTATTTCAGAATATTATATTAGATATAAAAAAATATTGCTATCATGCTTAGGCGACGCATGAAATGTGATGCCTCTCCTTTTTCATCAACTAATTACAATTTTATTATGCAATGTGCTAAAAAAAAGCCTAGAGATGAAGTTTTAAAGAATTTAACAAATAAATATTACATATCACAAAAACATATTTATCAGATTTGAAAAGGTGAAGAAAAAAATAGGATTATGTGAAATCAACTAATTCATATGCCAACAGCTTCGCTTTCTAATATAAATATTATAGGTGAACAGACTGAGCTAGAGATCCAAGACTAAGATGTTTCTCCATTTGCAGAATTGGAAAAAATAATATGTGATGGTAAAATAGAGCCTAGTAAATTTACCGATTTGGCTTCAGAAGGGAGTGTTATTTTAAGTGGTAAGGCGAAAAAGACTGGAAAAAAGAAATCAAAGTCTGTTCAGATTTCTGAACTATCTAGTATTCAAACTCAGCCAATCCAGGCTTCAGAGAAGGATATAAATAATGTAAATTTGGATGCATCTTATGAGAAGATAGCCAAAAAAAATACAAAAATTATAGATAAAAAAAAGAAGCGTTATCCTGAAAATAACTCGCCTTTTCCTTAAGAAGACTTTTGCAAAACTCACTGATTTCTGCATTGAACTTGATAGCATTAGAAAGCTTCTTCTCAAACTCTTTCATACGAGTTGCCATACTTTCATAACTCACTTTTTTTGAATGCACCATCCTTACTTAAGTCCTGTAAGTCTTGCGAAATTCTATCTGAAGTTGAAGAAGCATTGCATTCAGGAGTAATGTTCGCATAATTCACCTCAAGCTTATTCTTGACCTTATGCATATTGATTGGAATAAAAAATTCCTTACTATTACACTAGGAATCAAAGATTCATTGTGCAATAAGAAGAATAGTTATTAATTATCATATGATCAGGAATAATGTTTAGCCTCATATCCATATATCTTTGCATTGCTTGATTTGATATAATTTTGATATTTCTCTTTAATAAATAGAGTTTTTCAGAGTTAACTGATATAAAAAATTAGTTTGAATAAGTTGAGAAAGGTTAATATCAACTAAATTGCCACATAATAAACATTGGGTAGCAATAGGAAGTCAGTTTCTTTAAAGATCATTATTAAAAGTACATCCTTTACATGCTACTAATAAGTTCTGTTTTTTTTTAAGGGGATTGCAGATCTGCAGTTAAATTAGATAGAACAAAGTGTTGAAATAAAATTTTGTCAAAAATTAAAAGAGATTTAAAGGATTTTCTAAATATTGTTTGTCTCAGATAAGGAAGATTGTAATAATTTGATTCTAGAGAAGTCCAAAGAGCCATCCAGTTAGATACTTTATTTGAGTTCAAAGGAGAAGATGTTTTGAAACCAGAAGGAGTAAATGATGTAATTAAGTATTGATCTTTGAGTCTATTTGAATGTATGGAGTTAACTAAAACTAATTTTTTAAGAAGAAGAACCAATCTGAATAGCTTCCTTTGACAGTATTATGATTATTGTTAATTTGAATAGCTAAATCTCTAAATTGTGATAAAAAAATTTTGTTACATATAAATTGCTCTAAAAAAAAAATAGATTTGTGTCGCAAAAAGCTAATTTTTTTTTCCAAGAAATAATGTTTTGACTTGAATAAAGTTGAATTAGAATTATTGAAAGAAATATTTGATTGTAAATAGTAGAAGATAATGTTGCTGAAAAAGTTATCATGTTGAATATTGTTTAAAGATATAGGCCAACAAATTAGAGGATTGTTATAGAGTCAATAAAATAATTGTAGTTGTTTTAATTAGATCTCTGTAGTCTTCGCAAGTAAGAATGAAGATGGATCCCATTATCATGATAGTGAAATATTGAAGTTTTGAGTGTATCATATTAACAGCAAAGTCATTGAAACCATTTGTGAGTTTACTATTCAGTATACTATTAGGGATCAATTTTGGATATTTCAATTATATTGTAGGAAGATCCTGATTTTGGTAAATAATTCATTATATTCTTTAGGTGAAAAGTCAACTAGTTAAGATCGATATTCAATATGAGGGATCAAGATCATATTGAAAATATATTTTAGCTGTTTGTCGGTTAATGGTTTATACTTTAGTTTTAAGATTAAATCTGCAATCTCATCTTTAATTTGTTATTTAATATATGATTTGTTGTATTTGGCAGAAATCTACACACCTAAATATCTTGTTGATTCAGAGGGTTTTTTTGTTAGAAAGGAAATCAGTTTGTTTAAAAATTCGCTAAAGATTGAGATGTCAACTTTAGTAGCTTTAGATGTAAGAATGAAAGATTTATCATGATTAACTTTCATAGAATTTAAGTTAAAGAATGATTGGACAATATTAAAAATAGCTGTTAAATTGGTTAAATTATCTGTGATCCCAATCGTATAATTCATATATGCTAAGTAAGGAATATGCACTGAGATTTCTGAAGTGACAGTTTTGGTAATATTGGTTATCATGAAACGGATATTTTATAACTGTAGTTGGACTTTTATATATGTGATAAGAAAGGATCATAGTAAATAATCCAGAGCAAAAAAGAGATAACTTCTTCTTGGTTGATTCTTACAATAACATTGTAAGGATCTGTATAATCGTTTGCTGTAAAAACTGAATTTTTTCAATTCAAAAAGAGGTTAGTTATTACTAGTAATACCTGACGAAATTACCTTTCTTAATATGATGAAATTGATAAAACTGAGATAACAAAACTAGTTTTTTATTAATAATGAAATTATTTTACTTAATTGCCAAAATTATATTTAACTTGATCTAAATTCCTTAAATTAAAATACATTAAAAAATATAATAATTTTATATTTATTCATATAAAAATTTAAAGAGACAAATCTTTTGACGAAATTATAATTTTTCAAAAAAGAGTTTAGCCAGATATCACTAGTTATTACATTAGTAAATGTAAGAATGATCTTTAATTTTTCCATTGCTTTTCTGAGCATATAAATATTGATCCTATCATATGCTTTT